ATCAAGTTTGTCGAATTTTTAACAAAACAAGCAAACGAAAAAAAAGTGAACTGCAGTGAAGAAACTTACCTGCATGTGTTCTCGAGCAAGACTGCCTTCAACTAATCTTGACCTGTGACTTTGTTCATGTCGCTTAACGTTAAGTTAAAGTAATTCTTTCAGCATATGTTGGAAAAATATGGTTGTTTAAAGTTATTATAAGAAAAAAAGTATTATAATACGAAAGCTCCACATTACAAACTATAATAAATGGACTTTTATTCGTCCTTTTTTGTTTGATTAACTTTTTTATTATTATTTAGTCACTTAAAAAAACAAAAAACTTTTAAAGAAAAAACAAAAAACAATAGGATACTACAGATCTGCCAGTTTTCCGCATGAAATGCTCCTCTACCTGATGAAGCAAGCAAACATTTTTGCTGCAAATAAACTTCTGGTGTAGCCCAAAATCAGTATCCTTTTAAAATAAGCTGAAAATCACAGCTAGTAGACAGATGTGAGACAAGTAAATCTCATAAAAACAGTTTGATAGACAAAAACAATACAGGTTACACATAATTGGATGCATATTATATTTATTTTTCAATATGCATATTAAATATTAACCTTTTTTTATACCTTAGATTCCCTTGGCATCTCATGTTTCAGGGCAATCATTAAAACAACCATCTTTAAAGAAAAGGAATAAACTCAAACATTTCAGTGCAAAGTGCTCAAGCCAAGTTCATTAAAACAACATACGATCCTGTCTCCGAGTTTAAAAATGAATTAGTTGACATGTATAAATAAAAGAAAACGAAAACAAGTCTGGCAACTGTCCATAATAACTGAACTGATGTTACAAGAACAAACCCCTTTTTTATCAGTGTAAGTTCCCTTGGTTTGCAGCAAAGCATCAACTTACAAATTCTCACTTCATATACATATATTAATATGAACATTTTGTGTATTTTAATATAATCTTGTTACAGTTTCTACAAGAGGTCCATATGAATTAAATATTATATTAGGTGAACTTCTGTGATTTAGAGGTTTAGGATTACTCGGGATTTCTGCGTATTATCCACATACAATCTGTTGATATTGTCAGGGTTTTATAGATAATGTTGGCTCGTTTTGGAGATTATCATTACTCCAAAATTTGCAATGCACTCACACGTACACCTTGTTATCACCAGAGGACACTATTGGCATAAATGTCAAGTCATACGCAGGAACCCTGAGTACTGTGCGTGTGACCTTGCCTAAGCATAGGCAGACGCAAACTTGTTTGTTGTTTAGTGTCAGTCAAATGATCGCTCCACAGTCATGCTCATTCTGAGTGTGTTGAACTCTGGTAGAAAAGGCATCGTCTTTATCTGGCATCATCTCAAAAAAAACAACTCAAGCGGCAGATTTTTAGCACACAGACAAAATGTCGTCCACTCACATTCATCCCTAACTTTCACCGCACACTCCATATTCCATATTGCTCCCCATCCACCCAGCTTTATCTCAATAATGTATTTTTGAAACCTGTCCACTGCATTAATTCACAAATATTTCTGCTCATTCAACCACTCCACTTTGGTGATAACAATTTGCCATTCTTCCTGTAGCATTCCCTAACTGACTTTCTACATGGTATCTAGGATAAGCTTAACATAATTACATTATTAGTAATTACAGCTCTGTCTATGCTCCCTACTTTTCTTTTTAGTGCCCAGTTACCATTTCAACAATTCACAGCTTTACACATCAGTACCAGTCACTCCAACACACAGGTAACCCACACACACTCATCTGAACAAGCACACATCAGAACTGAGGACTATGTATGTCAAATCATCAATGACACAGTGCAGAGAAGGTGTGCTGACATTAAAGATGTACATAAAGATTTAGAGAAACAGAAGGAACATGCAGGTGATTCCAGTTGCTGAAATGGAAGTTTAGAGTCTCAGTTTTTGTTACAGTTGGAATTACAGTAAAGTTGACGTGTCTGAAGAGACAGATTCTGGGTGGGGTAAATTTTCAAAGCCTGTTCTTAAACCGCATAATCAGGAGAAAGT